TCTGCACTCTAATATCTTTCCCATGCAGTCTGCCCTTATCGATTTGGCCGAAAGCCGATTATCAAAGCACAGGCAGATACAGACGAATAAAAATCGAATCGAGCAGCGAAATTTTTAGAGGAATCCCCGTGGCAATTTTTAAAAAGCAGAATGTCACTAATGAGACAACGTAAAGATCGGATGCTTTGTTATTCGACTCGTTTGTACTCGAGTGTTCTCGGAGTTATCGACTTATCGAGCCGCATTAGAAAATCGCGAAACATATCGTGAACGTCGAGTATACTCGTCAGAGGCTGATTTCTTTCTGTCGACACAGTCAATTACAAATCGCTTCATTTTGTAAAAAGGAAATATCAGGAAAATAATTATATTAAAATTATTAGTATTAATTCAATGAATAGAACGTACCTCCATTGAAAATGTGATTCTATAGTCGTTCGAATTACAATAATGCGTAAGATCGTCAATCATGAAAAATGAAAAAGGTGATGTATTTTTTCCGATTATATCTATCGAACGAATGACAAGAAGAAGAAACAAGTTGTTAAAAGAGTTCTTCATTGTACAGCGAAAGTCAAGCGTCAAAGTTTATTTTTAACGTCTGAACATATGATTTGCGAAAACAAGAACTCGAAATCTCTGCCAGAGTCGTAGCAAGTACATTCTATTGTTAACTGTGATTCAGTTCCCGTTGAAAAAGACAGAATGTTGCAGCAACTGTGATTATTGGGGGTGCATCGATCGGTGACTCGAAGCTGTAATTTAAAGCCTCGCCATATTCTAAAGGCTGTCGTACATTTTCGTAATATTCTTAGCTCACTTAACGTTTGTGTGTGGAAGAACGACGTTCGTGCATTTTCTAAATCGTCTTTGCTGTGAACGCAAGAATAACGGCTGTCACCAGACGAAAATAGCATTACGGATGGATAAGCTGGATGACGATGTTTCGTACTTACGAAGAAGAGGAAAGGATTTCTTATTAAAGCTACTTTCCTTCAGTTTTGCTGTGCCATAAATATCGCAAAAGAAGCGGTCTCTTGAAATGAGTACCTATAATATTTGTTAGCTAAGAAACTATAGGAAACCGGAAACATCATTAAGGATACAAAAACTTTTCTAACCGTTGGAATTGTAAAAGAGTAAATGTAATCGTTTATCTTTAACTTGCTTCCAAATGTAATATCTTTAATGTACAAAATAAATTCTGGTACAACCAGAAATGAAAGATTGAATTTAAAGTCGAAAAGAAGGAATAAAATTTTTTCGAAAAGAATTAGAAAATTTATCAAATATACTTAAACTTAGCTAATTCTGACCGAACGAACAGGAGATTATTCTATCTGCGAAAAGTTAAATATGTGAAATTTTTCCATAATACCCTTCATTTTCGAAAAAATTTAACTTCAAGTACTCATCTACTAAGCCAATTAACCAAACATTGTCAAAGTCTTTTTTTTTTTAAACATGATTTTAAATGATGAAAATTGTATTCTGCATTGTTCACTT